CCCAAAGCTGAACACATGTGCTGTGGCGGAGGATGGAATTCTATCTGAGCTCTCAGCCAGATCAATTCAAAGGCTGCTACCCACTTCCAGACACCTGACTACCCTGTCTCCCTGCACTTCCCACAGAGGATTTCAGATCCAGCACTGAACCACCCGGATCCCAACTTCCCTCCCAGATGGTAAGCATGAAGTTAGCGCACAATGCATGCTGCACTCCCAACGCAAACGTGGGAACTGAGGCTGTGAAAGCGGCATTTACACTCCGTAGAGCTGACTGGAGAATGTGCAAAAATAAAATGAGGTGACATGTCCCACTTGACAAACCCTGAAAACATCAAGAATGCAGCTACAGCCACCCTTCTTGCTTCTGCCCTTTATCCAAAAAGTAAATAAAAGAGAAACCGTTACTGCTTCATGAATCACACACAAAAGCCTGTTCTTTACTCTGCTCTGGTTTTCTCAAAGCCTCAGTTTGTGTGAGTGATGGATGGGGAAGGCAATAGTACTTGCTTCAGGGGGCTGTGTTTCCTCTCATTCATGCATTCATTCATTCACTCACACACTCATTCACTGAGTGATTAAGTGGACAGAGTAATTTTGTGCCTGGCATTGCTCAAGCTCTGAAGATGACCACCAGGTCCCTGTCCTCTGTGCTCATGCTCAGAATGAGGAAGTTCCTCTTAGTGGATCTAGAGAATCTATCTGTTAAACCTGGAGAGGAACATGAGGTTATAGTTTTCTTTTTCTCCAAAGGATCACAAAGTTTGGGAGGAAGGGTAACATAAATATGTTTATGACGACAAGGTTTTACTTACCTTCTCAGGGCCAGTTTCCTTTTTAAGACTAGAGCCTCTCCAAGTTCACCTACACCCTCACCACACACACACACACACGCACACACACACACACGCACACAGACACACACACAGACACACAGACACACACACACACAAGCATGCATGCACACAAACACATGCACACGCACGTGCACACACGCATACAAGCATGCATGCATACATGCCAGGATTTTTTTTTTTTTTTAGAACAACTAAGCAAAATAAAATTCCTGTTTGTTGTTGGACAACATTGTTTCACACATACATCGAACAGGCCAAAAAAAAAAATAAAGAGCAACTTCACAGACGAAAAAGGAAAAAAAGGAAACCTTTTAATCTTTGGCCTTTTAACCATCTCATACAAACCAACTACTTATAGTACAGCTAAGTACATACACAGCAAAGGTACTGGAATGCTCGGAATACGATTGTTTTTCTGTTGTCATTTTCGCGTTTTTTTACAAGGTTTTTTTTCTCCTTTGAGATTATAATGAACGTGGTCACACCACAAGTAAAGTCAGAAGTAGGACAGAGAACGCTCCGAAGGCTGGTTTGGTCATCCGAGATCGTTAAAAATGGCTGACCCTAACAATATGTACAAACATATAAAATGTAAATAAAACATACAAACAAATTTCCTTTTTAAAGCACTTTTAAGAAACAAAGCAGGGCCTTGGAAGTTTTGGCTCTTTTTTCTTCCCCTGTTGCAAATTCTCATGGTTTGGGTAGCGGAGAGCGCGGCGTGTCATCTGCGGGCGGCACTGCCCGCGGTGGGCGGGCGGCCGGCCTCTCTCCTCGCAGGTGACCACGTTTAGTGGAGGGTGAATAGGTCACGGCGGCCTTTTTTTTTTGTTTTTTTTAGTTTAAGTTTTCCTTTTTTGCTGTCTAATCATCCTCGTCGGTCTTCCGCTTCTTGGTATCGACATCCTCCTCCTCCTCATCTTCAGCTGCCCGCCTGCCCGTAGCAGACTCAGCTTCCTCATCCTCATCTCCATCCTCCTCCTCTTCCTCCCCACCTTCTTCCTCTTCTTCATCTACCTCACTGTCAGCCTCCTGCTCCCCGTTTTCCTCATTCGCATTCCCGTTAGCAGGGGCATCTCTTCCGTTTTCCGCCCCTTCCACAACTTCCTGCTTCTCCTTCAAGTCCTGGGTGGCGAGTTCGGAGCTGGTGTCTACCGCTGCGTCTGACGTGGCGGGCACGCCGGTGATCCGATGCGGGGACTAAAAGGAAAGCGAGAGTTCAGGGACTGGCGATTAAGCTGCCGGGGTCCGCGACGCGGCGGAGGCGGCTGCGGCGAGCGAGGAGTCGGACGAGTAACGATGCAAAGATGGCTTTTCAGAGCAGCCAGTGGGGCCATGCCAGGATTTTAAACACAAATCAACAAATCTCAGTACTCACCAGAACTATTTCACTATTTAAGAGCCTGTATCAACTGCATGCGAAGGCCATTCTGCCTGGGATCTTACACTAAGCGTGGGGTCTCCGTGTGGGGGGTTCTCTCACCAGGGCATGGGGAGCCTTCTTTATTCAAGGCCATCCAATTTCCCCCAGCCTCATGCCCTGGGCACTCCCACAGGCCCCTGTTGGGCCCCAGCAAAGGAAGAGGTCCTTTTCTGACGGCAGAGGGTCATCCTCCCTACCCTGAGGCCCCCGCTGTGCCTCAACTTCCTGGTACAAAGCCAGGACTGACCCCAGGACCCAGACTGGTGGGCCCCTCCACTACCTTCAGCAACCAGGAGCCAGTGAGAGTTGGGGAAGCCACACCACCCCCACGAGGGGCAGGCAGCAGGGTGGTCTAGGGGTGGGAGTGCAGCCTCTGGAGCCAAACTGCCTGGGCTATGCCTCTGACCCACCATGGAACCCTGGGCAGCCAGCTGACCCCTCCCAGCCCCAGTGCCCTCATCTGGTAGCAGCTAACAGGGACACACCTGGGCAGGGTCTTAGTGTGACGTCCATCACTGGGGCAGGTCATCAAAGCACACCATATGGTACATCAGCTATGGGCTGTATAGCCCACTTACAGAGGAGGAGGGAGGCTCAGGTGTGAAGGACATGCCCAGGGGACATGCTGCTGAGTGGCCCCATCCCCATCCAGGCCACCCAGCCACAGCCTGTCCCCAGGGACCCCACGTCCACATCAGTGGAAGCTGGAGGATGAAGGTCTCCTGGGCCTGGAGTCTCAGAGCCTGTGCTGGTTAATTTCACCAGTCTGCTTGACTGGCTCACAGGGGGCAGACATTTGGCCAAACATCATTCTGGGTGAGCAAGACGGGGTCTGGGTGAGACTAACACTTGAGCCAGTGGACAGCAAAGCACACGACCCTCCAAAGTGTGAGTGGCCCCACCCCATCCACCGCAGACCTGAACAGAGCACAAAAGCTGGGTAAGAGAGAATTCATTCTGCCTGGCCGCCCTGAGCTGGGGCTTGGTCTTTTCCAGGCTTTGGACTTGAACGAAAGCACTGGCTCTTCATGGGTGTCGAGCCCCCAGCGTCTAGACTGGGAGAAACTCCATCAGCTCTCCTGGAGCTCCACCTGGCCAGCTGCAGATCTGGGGACTTCTCAGTGCCACTGTCTCATGAAGCAATTCCTTACCATCCATCTCCTTTCATAAACACTCATGCATCCTATCAGTTCTGTTCCCCTGGAAAACCCTGACTAATGCAGAGCCTGAAAGAGGGGCATGGCCTGAGGCCGCTGCAAGGATCTGCATTCTTTGTGCTTCCAGGCAGGGCCTCTCGTGGAGAGCAGGATGGCTGTGCTTCCTTGGCCGGCACTTGGGATCTGTGGGGTTGGCAGCTGTGGGCTGAGGGAGCTGACCCTGCAGTCTGCACCACTATGGAGAGAGGGCCCCTGGGCTGAGGATCCAACAGGTGCTCTGGGCCCTTCAGTTTCAAGCCAGGCATGGGACAAACCTGGCCCTTTTGTGGAAGTCAGCTGTCTGCGTTCTAGCTTTTCAGCCGCCACCTAATGCTGCCTAATATGAGCTGCCTCAGACACTGTGCTGGGCTCTTTAAACCCTACGAGGAGACTGTAAAGTCATCTTGGCAGCCCCAGGTCTCCAGTGCCTTCCCAGGGCCCTAAGCCAGTGTGTCCCCAGCCCCCAATGTCTCTTCCTAAAGGAGCCCCCCAGGTCCTGGAGCTCAGCACTGGGGGCTCACCACCGCTGGCAGTGGCCCCAAGGGCTGGCTTTGTGGGACTGTTGGACACCGCCCATCCCTGAGCTGTAACAACAGGAGAGCAGGAGCTTGAACAGGGTTTTATTGAGATATGTTTCACCTTATCTGTTTGAGAATGAAATGATGGAGATTTTCATGCACACAGACACACATATGATACTTGTAATTTGTTTTTAGATTAGATAATTTTTCTTGAGGGTTACTCTTGGCCTTTGCTGATTTGCTGGAAAGATTTTAGCAAATGGCAAAAGAATTGTTCAAATTTAGAAGGAGAAAGGGAAGCCATTTTTACCAATTAAACTGAGACTGAGTAGCCAATAGGTTAAAGAAACCTGAAGGCCTGATTCTGAGAAGTCATTTTAAGTTCCTCTCAGCTCAATGGAGAATGCTGTACAGTGCAGCTCTGAGCTGCTACGAAGCCAGGCATAGAAATGTGGCTGTCAAACACTCACATAAACTTGTGTGTGTTAAGCGTGCTCTGAATGAAGAGACCACCTAAACAGGCTTTGTGTGAGCAACAAGGCAGTTAATTCACTTGGGTGTGAGCAGGCTGAGTCCGAAAAGAGAGTCAGCAGTGTGTGGGCAGATAAGAGGTTGTTTTATAGGTTGGGGGTAGGTAATGGAAAGTAACAGTTTAGAGTGGTTTTTGCAAGCTGGGGAGGGGAGGGTGTCACAGGTCCACTGTCACAAGGTTGACCTACCCGTTGAGGCAGAAACAGTGGTAGGATGTCACAAGATTGATTAATCAGGCCACAGGTCCAGTGTCACGAGGTTAACTTATCAGTTGAGGCAAGAACAACGTTGGAATGTCTCAAGGTTGGTTAATCAGGCACTGCAGGAGGAAGCTATTCTTCTCCTTTTGCGGTTTTTCTGTTACCTTAGACTTTCTGGCTCCAGGAGGCCATCTGGAGGTGTACATGTGGGTCACAGGGGTCACCATGGCTTGACTATGGTGTAGTCCACGGTGCAGTCAGTTCAAAGAACCTTGCAGTGTGCATGATTCAAACTAAAAAGTTAACCAGACTCACAGAACCTATTAAAAACCCAATTAGCAGGACAAGAGAGGCATCCGGAGCCTGGTGCAAAGAAGACCTTCAGTGCAGTGTGACCCAGATCTGCAGCAAAAGCACCTGTTTGTTTTAAATTGCTGTTTTGAAAAGTCAGTTACTGTCTTGGGGAAAACTAGTGCCCGATTGGCCGGTTTTCCTGCATCAACTCTCCAACCTCCCTCTGTCAGTACCAGGCTCAGGCACTGAGTGACAGCAATTTCTTTGTGACACTGTCCATAGACTGGCATGAAAACTCAGACAAGATTCTGGTTTATGTGTTTATTTCCTGCTGATAAGGAGATAACTAGTAATTTAAAGTCCAAGTTTCTCTTTGTTTCCTGTTTTGGCTGACCTGTAAAATATGTGTACTTAATTCTGTGTTTTGAATCTCATGATGACATAATCTTGATATAGAAGTTTTTATGTTTATGGTAATTTATTTTGCTTCCTCATTAATTTGCTCCAACTAACTTAGTCATCTAGTTCAATTTTCTTCATGTGCTCCATCGGTAAAGACTCTTCAGACTATCTTCCCACTATATCAATATTCATTTCTTTATAAATTTTAAATATATACTACTACTATCTTTATCTAATTTCTAAAGGCAAAGTTGACACTTAAGGCTTATCATTATTAATGACAGTAGATATAAAATCTGAGTGTTTTGTTTATTTTGTTGACCTTTCTGGACCAGCTATTTAATTAGATAATCATGGTTTTTAACTTCATAATGTGGCTGAAAATGAGCTCAAGCTGGGAGATGGAGTTCTATCAGCCTGTTTTCTTGTTGGTCCATTGTGCTCATATCATCAATAGAGATGGGGCACGGGCCCCCTCCTAGGGGCCTGATAGCCCCCACCACCCCAAGCATGGAAATAAAGAAAATTCCTGAGTTCCTTCAAGGAAAATTCAAGACACCTATTTAGCCACGAGAACTAAATGAACAACTTGATAAGCAAGAATGTATTAGTAGCTTAAAACAATAACTGAGGATGTGAGAGTCGGGCAATGTTGGTTCCTATAGAAACTGAAAATAATATCTGAACATATGTTCCTGAGTTGCATTTCAGAAACCCAGCTCCCCACTGAGGACCCTCACCAAATGGATCCATGGTATTAGACCTCGGATAGAGGGAAACTGAGGACTGAGCTCTGACCACCTTTCTTTGTTCTAAATTACTTCCTAAGAGGCCTGGATGTAACCTGCAAAAAACCCACTTGCTTCTGATCAGAAGCTTGATTCACTTACTTGGCTTGGTTAGTGAATTTACAAATAGTGACATCTTTTTTCAACCAAACCAATATTTACCAGTGGACAGGAGGCTTATGAAGATTCCTACAGAGAACTGCAGAGCGGAGATAATATTGTTTCTGAGCTGAGCTGAGGTTTGCTCATCTGGCGCAGTAAGGCCAAACATCCACACCGAGGCTTTGCAGCAAGAGAAAGGAAGCCGTTTATTTGCAGGACACCGAGCAAGGAGAGTCAGGCAGATTACGCTTAACGCCTGACCTCCCCAATGGCTCACAGGGAAGGGTTTTTAAAGGCAGAGGTAAATTCCAGGGAAACAGAAGTACAAGCAAAATTGTAAATCAGTACTGGAGGTTGTATATTGATTTAGCCTAAAAAGATGAGACTCATGTTTCAAGGAAATGGGAGTGAGATCATATTCTTAGCTTAGTGGACACATGGAAAAAGACTTTGCTTGCACACGTTGTGTCTATGTTGAGAGACTATCCCCAGACCACTGCACCAATTCACATTCATTTCTTTTACTTGGTTTTGCTGTGCAAATGATTTATTTCATTCTCAAAACCATTTTTAAATTTAAATATAATTTATTTATGTATTTTTAGTTCCAGAATACATGTGCAGGGTGTGTAGGTTTTTTACATAGGTAAATGTGTGCCATGGTGGTTTGCTGCACCTACCAACCCATTACCTAGGTATTAAGCCAGCATGCATTAGCTATTTATCCTGATACTCTCCCTCCCCTCATCCCCTGACAGGCCACATTGTGTGTTATTTCCCTCCCTGTGTCCATGTGTTCTTATTGTTCAGCTCCTAGTTAGAAGTGAGAACATGCAATGTTTGGTTTTCTGTTTCTGTATTCATTTGCTGAGGATAATGGATATCGTCATCCAAGTTGAAAAGCCTTGTTTTAATAGACTAAATCAATGAATGAACACTTTTTTGGTCTCACTGCTTAGCAATATATTTCTTCTTATTCTATTATAGTTTCATTACTATTGGGCTAATATTAAAATCATGCTTTGCCTCTTCACTACAGAAACGATTGCAGTAAGAGACCTAGAAATGAGGAAATTATAATTTTACTAAAGATAATATAGTATCAGGTATATTTAATGATTTGCACTTCTGTGTTTGGAATTTAACATTTAGATTTACCAACTCAAAGCAAAATTTTCTTCTTAAAGAGTTGAATAGTATTGAAAGTTCTAGCCCGGCAAATCATACAAGAGAAAGAAATAGAGGGCATCCAAATAGAAAGAGAGGAAGTCAAACCATTTCTGTTTGCAGATGACACGATCTTCTATCTAGAAAACCCCATAGTCTCAGCCCAAAAGCTTCTTAGGCTGATAAACAACCTCAGCAAAGTCTCAGGATACAAAATCAATGTGCAAAAGTCACTAGCGTTCTTATAGAGGACATCCACAGCAGTCAAGCCAAGAGCCAAATCACAAACAAACTTTCATTTACAACTGCCGTAAAAAGAATAAAATAACTATGAATGCAGCTAACTAGGGTGGTGAAAGATCTCTACAAGGAGAACTACAAATCACTGCTCAAAGAAATCAGATGACACAAACAAATGGCAAAACATTTCATGTTCCTGGATAGAAAAAAATTGATATTGCAAAAATGGCCATACTGCCCAAAGCAGTTAACAGATTCAGAGCTATTCCTATCAAGCTATCAATGACATTCTTCACAGAACTAGGAAAAAACTATTTTAAAATTCATATGGAATAAAAAAGGAGCCTTGATGGCTAAGGCAATTCTAAGCAAAAAGAACGAAGCTGGAGGCATATGCTACCCAACTTCAACCTATACTACAGGACTACAGTAACGAAAACAGCATGGTACTTCTACAAAAACAGACACGTAGACCAATGGAACACAACAGAGAACCCAGAAATAAGACAGCACTCCTGCAACGACCCCATCTTTGACAAACTTGATAAAAACAAGCAATGGGGAAAGGATTCCCTATTCAACAAATGGTGCTGGGATAACTGCTCAGGCATATACAGAAGCTTAAACATAGACCCCTTTCTTACATGTTATACAAAAATGGACTCAAGATGGATTAAAGGCTTAAATGTAAAACTCAAAACTATGAAAACACTCCAAGACAACCTAGGCAATATCATTCAGCATGTAGGCACAGGCAAAGATTTCGTAATAAAGACACCAAAAGTAATTGCAACAAAAGCAAAAGTTGACAAATGGGATCTAATTAAACTAAAGAGCTTGTGCACAGCAAAGGAAACTATCAACAGAATAAACAGACAACCTACAGAACAGGAGAACATTTTTGCAAACTACACATCCAACGAAGGTCTAATATTCAGCATCTGTAAAATCGAAACAAATTTACAAGAAGAAAAAACAAACAACCCCTTACAAAAGTGGGCAAAAAACATGAACAGACATTTTTCAAAAGACATGCATGCATCCAACAATCATATAAAAAAACCTCAACATTGCTGATTATTAGAGAATTGCAAATCAAAACCACAATAATATACCCTCTCACAACAGTCAGAATAATTGTAATTAAAAAGTAACAGATGCTAATGAGGTTGTGGAGAAAAATGAATGCTTATACAATGTTGGTGAAAGTGTAAATTAGTTCAACTGTTGTGGAAGACAGCGTGACAGTTCCTCAAAGCTCTAAAGAACAAAACATCATTCAACTCATCAATCCCATTACTGGGTATATTCCTAAGGGAATATAAATTGTTCTATCATAAAGACACACACATGCATATGTTCATTGCAGCACTATTCGCAATAGCAAAGACATGGAATCAACCTAAATGTCCATCAGTGCTATACTGGATAAAGAAAATGTGGTACATGTAGACCATAGAATACTATGCAGTCATAAAGAAGCCAAGATCATGTTCTTTCCAGGAACATGGATGGATGTGGAGGCCATTATCCTTAGGAAACTAACACAGAAACAGAAAACCAAATACCTCATGTTCTCATTCATAAGTGGGAACTAAATGAATATGAACAAGTGGACACATAGAGGGGAACAACACATACTGGGGACTATCAGAAGGTGAAGAGTGAGAGGAGGTAGAGGATCAGGAAAAATAACTAATGGGTACTAGGCTTAATACCTGAGTGATGAAATAATCTGTACAACAAACCCCCATGACACAATTTACCTATATAACAAACCTGCACATGTACCCCTGAACTTGAAAGTTAAATAAAAAAAAATTCTTTAAAAATCCATATTATGTCCAGTACCATGGAATCTGTCCATTGAAATGGATGCTTAACATTAAAGGTCCAATTAAAGTATTTCCAGAACTTAAAAAATATATATATATATTTTTGCAGTTAAGTTCTATAGCAGAAAAAAACAAATACAGTTAAATTTTAATACATACAATGAAATAATATATTTATAGCATTATTTGAAACATACCATTGTCTAATAAATTATTAATAATTGTATAAGAGATTTTAGCTGTTCTTGCACCCAGTGTCAGATTTTTAAATAAGCACTTTTTAGATTAATAAATAATATTGAAGGAATGTCTGTAAGAATTTATTATCAGAATTAATATAAATGATTTCTGTCACTTCCATGCTCATAAAATTAAGAAACTCTCAAATGCCAATTCTAA